GCTCGGTCTTTCTCGGCTTAATGCGTCATTTTCTCGATTTGGCATGCACGAGTGCAGCCTTTTCCATGTCCAGTGACGAAGATCCTCCTGGACTTCGTGGATATGGTTCTTCCTTCCCGATTTAAGTCCATGGCGTCCTTTTCCTGCCAGATGGACCGTACTTTACGACGGTAGTAACTCCGGTACATAAAGAGCAAGCAGCTAAAAATTGTCGCAGACGGTTTCTGCACGTGGCATATATTCTACTAGTATATTCTGACTCGTCGAATGAGTTCTGCAGCAGTTTTTTTCCCCCAATAGTCTCCTGCAAGCGAGTGTTAAATCCTGTTTCTGCTGAAGTATCCTTCTTGAAATGCAGTTTTCAAAATCTGGAGCAGAATTTAAAGAATGACTGTTTACGTGGTATCTTTCGAGCATTAAAGATCCCCGAAAGATAAAACTGCATCTTCAATGGTTGCAGTCAAGATTCCTCGATTTATAGAAAAATGTATCAATAGTTCGTGTTGTCATGCAGAATGTGTTGAACTTTCGGGTTGTGAGCGGTCTGCGAGCAATCAAAACTACTAATGCTTCATGGTCGAAGCATGCAGTGATCTTCAAAAATGGAACATTTTGCCATTGAATGACATCAGTCTGTCCATGCTCTCCATTGCACTTACAACAGGATTAAATCGTATTTCATATTCTACGGTTCCTCACAAAAGTGGAAGGACCATCGTCTATCCAAAAAATCCTGAAGGAACGATGCGTTACATGAGGCAGTTCATCCGGAAGTTTCTTTATTCCATCTTTTATCTTTAATTCCATTATCCGCGGCGCAGCGATAGCACAAATTCAATTTGAAAGCAGTGCATATCGGGACGAGGACGTGGATTTGGTTTGCATATGCCATCCATGGTTCTATGGGTATTGGAATTTCTTCAGCTTCTGCCCTTGCATTTCAGAGTAGTCGTAAGTTGTCCTATCGCGTCCGGTGGCTTCCGAGTGAAACCCGGGAGGCCGGGGATCGAGTCCAAGGCGGACTCCTCCGTCGACAGGCGATCCATACGGAGCATCTGCTTAGCGAAGGGCGATACTTGAGTCACTCAGCCGCGTCTAGGAGATACAGGTGCAGTATGCCTTAAAAATCACTCGTGCCAGTCATGGACCTATCGTCACGGGCAATCCGTGAGTCCCTATCGACCGTTTCGGGCTGTCCCTGCCCGAGGGACTGATCTTGGATGTGGTGCCTGCTTGGCTCAGGCACCTTCTTTCGTCCATCCGTTATCCTATGTGTCCGTCGTCGACTAAGACACCAGTCGATGGTGGACCGTATCTCGATAGCATATCTTGCAATTCATTCTCTCACGGGTTACCAAAAAGCCCCTTTGCTCACAAAGTACGCAATCGTGTACTCGAGAAATAGCCGATCCTGCGATAAGAAATGATGCTTATCGTGGTTTGTTACATAGTCCTAATTCAGGAGACTGTTAAAATTAATTTTTCGTTCTGCTCAAAAAGGTTCGTGAGCAAAAGGGTTGTTAATATGACGTGATTCGTTTCCCTTTGTTGTGGACGAGATGCGGAGTGTCTGAAAGCGAGACGAGTCCCTACCCACATCGGCTTATCCCACAACAGGCCGACTTTATAGCCTCTCGTGTATTCCTCTCCCAATGGGGTCGTGTAAAAGGGAAGATGGGGAGAATGAAGTCCTCGTGTGGGTGACGTTCCCACGTTATAATGACGGTCACGCGAGGGAACCCGGCTCCGTTCGTGACCTCATCTGGGACCTTTCCTCGGATATTCCATGCTCGGTCAACGAGGCTCCTCGTCCTCGTATCCTGAAATCGATGTCGTGTCGGATCGGATTGAATTCGTTCGGGGCGGACTCATCGTCTCCTTTTATTAGGAAGAGGAAGGAAGGGAAAGAAGAGGCAGTTCGAAATCGCAGACACAAAAGGGAGGAAAAAGATAGATTCGGAAGATGCAAAGAGATCTTCGGGTTTTTCTTTCTTCCTGCAAGTAGGAATCACACACAAAAAATGCACGACCGCAATCTTCGCATCTGGTATCGAGGGCCAAAGATCGGTTCTTTTGAGTCTTCGGTCGATTCCGTTCATCTGACGGGACGATCGAGAAACCTGACCAGGGTCCACCAGAGGGCGAGGGCGTAGACACAGCACGACCCTGGGCACCTTCCAACACTGTTTGATTGCACCTTCTTGTGAATCGCTGCCGTGTTCTCACCTGTCAACCGATTCCAAGGGTTCTTGTCAATGACGATACATTCGAATTCCATTTTAAAATGATCAAATATACGAGGGGATCGTGAAAATCAGGCACGGGACAACAGGAGCAAAAGTGAACTTTCGCGTCTTGCTTCATGGTTGTGAGAATGTGAAGATGTAATCTGGATCGTTTTTCTTACATGTCGTGTGACGTCGAGTGGAATGATCGAGCAGATCGAGTATCCCCCTTTATCCCTTATAACGGGATTGAAAATGTGGATAATGGAGAGAGAAACTGAAAGATCCATCTGCGAGCAGTCAAGAGTCCTTCGGGAGTTCATTTCTCTCTGTCCAATAAGTTCCTCCAAAAAAATTATTTGAAACCTACTACGGCGCCCACGATCTCGAGAAAAGCCTTCTCTGTTACCAGGCGTTCTGCGTTTGTGGACAGGAAATGAGTCGCGTCCACTGTGTAGAGACGGAGAACCATTAAATGCGAACGAAAAACTTGCGATATTTAGCCCCTGCGTGACCAACGATCTACAGAGGCTGGGGATGGCAACCCGAGTAGAAGCGTTAAGCGACTGGGATGGTCACCCGAGAGCGAGCAAACGTCATCGCAGCAAAAAAAATGTCTCGGCATTAGGGATGAACTGGAGACCATTAGCGAAGACGCCTTGAGGAACGAGGAAGGCAGAGGACTCGAGGGAAAGCTTTGGCATCCGATTCCACGGAGATTAGTGCCAAATGGAAAATTAAGTCTGGCTTATGTTCAACGCGATGAGGATCTTTAACGTTTCGATCCCCCCCCGCCCGTGATTCTTTCAAGGTCCGAACGTGTCTCTTGCTTTTTTTTTCCCTCTCGAACGAGTGGAAGGGTGTGATAAGGGCCTGTCCTTTTATGTCTGATTAACCGGGAATTGTGTGTCTTTCTCTCTCTTCCATAGTGGATCAATGGTGGAAGTCTGGAGAAGAGAGAGTACAGTCATTCCATTTCCTCCTTCTAGATCCAGATCTCTCTCTCTCTCTCTCTCTGCTCTCTCTGTCTCTCTCGTTTCGTCTCGGCTCGTCTCCTATCTCTTCGGAGGCTATCCTTTGTCTTTCCGATAAAGAGAAAAACGCTATTCACAAGAATGATAAGCAAAATCCAGACTTAAGAGAAGACGAATCCCTTTCTCGATCTCTGAACCTAATGCGAATTTCATTTCCTCATTCTTCTATCGTCAGGAAGACCCAAAAGGCGGTTGAAGGAGTTGGCGTGCATGAAATGAACTCAAGATGAACTGGAGGTGGCGAACATGGAATATATAGAAAATTTTCAAGATTGTGGATTCGTAAAGATCAGCGGTGCGGAGATGGTCGCGATGCCATACGTGGGGTAAGAGCCACTAGATGAAGCCCGAATATCTTTTCATCTGATGTTTTATGCAGTCTAAATGAAAAATAAAAGAGAGAATAGATTCTTGAATATATAGAACCGTATCGGACCCGGTTGGACGAAGAAGAGTGAAGGGAGTCCGTCCCGTCATTCCTGCCGTCAAGTTCAACTATGCCAAATTTGCGCATATCCCGCTTTGGCTTACGAAAGTGATCGTTTCATACTAGTATGGATCGTAGTAGTACCAAGGTACTGATACTATTACCATGGATTACTACAGGGTGCGGCAAAAGTTTGGTGACAGATGAAAAACTATTTATTTTTAACCATAGCAACAGGGGAAAAGAATGAAATGAGGCAGAAAGCAATAAATATTAACGAAGTGGCTAAGAAGGAGACAAACAAAACTGTAAATTTTCACAAATAAAATCGTAATACATCGTAACATCTGCCACCAAACTTTTGCCGCACCCTGTAGTAAAACCACCCAAAATATGCTTTCCATGCGATTCAGACCCTTTTTCTTTTCTCCCCGTGCGGTTCCGATCGTGCAGGGTCCACGTATGCGAAACTGTAAATAGCCGCAGCTGAAAAAAGAAGCTTCAAAAATGTAAATTTCGCGAGTGGAAGCGTGAAAACTTCCTCCGGTCTCCTCAGTTCATCCTTCGTAAAAGAAGGCGAACGAAGGCGAACGTGTTAGAGTCAAAATGCCGAGTCGCAAGGGCAGTGAAGGGCAGGGAGGCAGCGACCGATTATTCCCTTGGTCTTGCTGCACTGAAACTCAACACCGCCAACTATTCTCATTACCATCAACCGTCAGACGAGGCTTCCCGGTATTCTAACAATGAAAGAGGTTTTCCGCACTTCTACGTTGAACATTGCGAGTGCGACGCGACAGATACAGGGAGTGACTTCCTTCTTTGGCCAAAAATGGGAGACGTGCCATGGGGAATGAGTGCTTCGGTACATGACACAGGCTCATTCACTAAAGAGAGATGCTGAGTCTATCTTGATGTGGGCACAGCGTGCCTGCGAAGCTTTAATCCTTTCTGCGCCTCTTCTCTCAGGCGTCGCTTCATTCGATTTCTTTCATATTTTCTCTCATTCTTCCAAAAATAAAAATTAAGTTCGCTCTCACTCTTTTTATTTGCAGTTTCTTTTTGAAAGGGATCTGGAAAGTTCCATGGTGAGCTAGCAGACGTGAAATCGATGTTTCCTACATCTAAGAGACGGAAGGAATAAAGGAAGGGGGAGGCCATCGACGCTGATGGACGCCCTCAATAATACTGAACGGGGTCGCGACATGTCGAGTGAGAAAGAGAAAGAGAGAGAGAGAGAGAGAGACTTCAATTTATAGGGCATCCATGAGGCCCAAAAAAGGTCTTATCGAACGGCATGAAAAAGGGGCTGAAGGCATGAATAATTTGAGCTTTCAATGTCAGGCAGCGGCGCCCTATCTCTCGAGGCATGAATCCCTCGTTTCATTAGATGCGGAAATGGAATCCATCATCATCATTATCATAGTCCTCGGTTGCATGCAGGGAGAACGATGAGAGGGAAGACAATTTTCCACTCTTCTGTGCAGGGTGCAATATACACTATAGACTCCATACTGCGACTCGGATCTTCCTCCTCAATCTGTTAGAAAAACAACGTCCGACTTGCATACCAATCTCAGACCTCGGAAGGCGGAATCCCCTTCATTTTTCAAGTGAAAGACCTCGGAGATTCTGCCTTGAGTTCTAGGAATAGAAAAAGCGAGTCGGCTTTCGTGCTCCTCCGTCCGAGACTCGTGGCTTCTGCATGCTCCAGTTCCAAATCCCTTTCAAGAATTACGTATCGGTTTATTGCAACCGCTGATTGCGGATACCCGTGCGACTAAACCGCACGATGTAAGACGAGTGCATGAAATCATATGGATGCAACGAAAAAGGTAGATCAGTCTTGTAAAAGGTTGGTTCCCTTCTCGTGAAGTGAAAATTGAGAGGAAGTTTGTGGAAGTTCGAGTGAAAGAGAGGGGACAGACCAGGAGAAACGAAGACGTTCACGCTGGCGGCTTTCGAGTGAGCAGCCTTGCAGGTGTAATTGCCGGAATCCGTGCTGCGTGCATTTTGGATCGTGAGCCTGGAGGTGATGTTCCCCCGTTCCCCATCCACCTCCACACGGAACCCCTGTCGTTCCCTCTCGAAGCTGATCATGTCCTCATTGTGATACCAGAATACGTACTCTGGCTTCTCCGGCATCTAGAGGACACAAGAGGGAAGGAACACACGTTACCCTTTCTTGCTCCCAACACATCACGTCTCTTGTCCTTTTTCCATTCCCCCCTCTCTATTTTCCTTTGCTATTATGCCACGTGCTGCGATGCATTGGTCCTAGCAACTGTGAGAGGGCTCGTAAGCACATTGAATGCCCAGCCCAACCAATATGCTATTGGTTCTGCTGCCATCGATGACTAGTTAACTTGACACGGCAGTCAACGTGTTAAGCTGATATTATTCATCTGAGGCGGCGCAAGACCCGAAACGACTGGAACGTCTTCAGACGCAACGAAGCAGAAAGTAGATGTAAAAGTTCTTTCCTCCCAGTTCCCAATTTTCCCTGGACCTATATACTTGTTGAGGTTATCAAGCGACATGTAGCATAAATGCGTACCGACACGCTGAAACCAATACGAGACCACTGTCACGCCACGCATGTCGCGAGAAAGATTAGGATTGGCCTGCTCAGGATCACCTCAGCTTGAACTTCCTCAGACGGAACGTTTATCAATTTCGCTCTTTTAATCTGCAAAAACTGAAAGACCGAGACACTCTCTGGTCTCGGGCATCTCTAGAATGGCTAACGTTTCTTCGAATTAGAGTCGTACGACTATTTTTCATAAGCGCTGCAAACAGGCACGGAGACCCAGAAGCACGTCGATCTCATTTGTCAGAGAAGACGGAAAGGCTGAAATTTCGTCTGGGGTCCAATATCACGCTATTATTATGAAGGAGCAGCCTGCGATATGGAAGCGGCCTCATTTCTCCTTCTAATGATCAGGCCAAGGACAAAGCTCTCTGTGCACGAGAAAAGAAAACAAGCAAGGGAGGCTTGCATATGAAGGAGAGGATGAAGGCATTCATGGAGGGTCTCGGTCGATGAGGATAGCCTCCTCCAAGGCTTTGATTGATGGTCCAGGAGGAAGGGACAATGCACCTTCTCATTAATGGCAGAATAGGATGAATAGCCTCAATAGATCAATGGTGAGAGCTCCGATTCCACTCTGAAATTTAGGCACTGTATAGCGAACTAGATAGCTTTCCGGTGTAAGTCGATATGATTAATACCGATTACACTCTCGCGCTCTTAATAGACGTATTTACGGTATCCACAAAGATGGGCCTCTATAGCTTTTATGGACATCCACCTCAAAAAGAAAGTTCATGAATATGCAATGACAGGACCTAGCTGTCCTTTCATTGCTCTATGCGTAATTGCTACTTGAGACTCATTAATTAAAGCAAAGTCCTCCTCCTCTTCCTCTTCAAGCAGCAATCAATTCAACAGCAAATGGATGAGCCACAGGTAGGAATTAAGCATATAACGGTTTAGGAGTTCTCTGTCATCTTCGATATAAAACGCAGAGACTCTTGCAGGTGTCTCGACAAGGCGATCAAAGAAAGATGGATGAGTCTGCTGTATCAGTTGTTTCTTCGCAAGCTCTTTTTTTTTGGAACAGAGTATTTCGTCAGGGGCTGGGATGCAAAAGAAGTAAATTAAAGATAGAAGGAAGAGACCTGTTTGATGAGGCAGAGAAGCGAGATGGTAGAGCCCTTGTCGACGTGGTATGTGCGAGGACCCTGGATCTCAGCCTCGGATTCCACCACCTTCAACTCCACCTCCTTCGCCACTGCTCCTCGCGACGTCGACACCTACACAGAACCCCGTTGCGCTTCACACGTTCTTAAGCTTAAAATTAAACTAAGAGGATCCCGTTTGATGCGAAGGAAAGATCTATGAAACAAGTAATGATGGATTTATCGATTGTGTATATATCCTTTCTGTTGGAAGCATGTCGAAAGCATTCATCCGAGTTTATTTCCTCGAGATTCCAAGCCATCTCCACCGGTTTACTCTCTACTTCGTTGCGCGCCGTCGTTTACTTGGATATTCCTCGATTCCTTTTCTTCCTTTGTAGCCACGTCTGACGCAGATCGAGATTCTCTTTTCTCTCATCAAAGAGCCATCTGGGATAATTGCTTCTCCCGGTCTCGTTTACTTCGCCCCATTTCTTCTTAGGGCTCTCTCCGCTCGGGAAGAAAGAAGTAACTTTTCCGTAATCTCCTTGCCCTTCTGCATTCATGCCGATGTCATTCCACTCCATGAACTTCCATACATCATTTCATCGTAAGCAGAGCATGACGTCAGAGGTAGACTACAATGTTGGCCTGCGGCTGTTGACACGAATCACAGACCATGGAATGCTCGAAGCACGAGGATGACTCTTAGGTCAAAAAGTCGAAAGTCCTCTAGCATGCATGTCGTTGAGGCTAGAGAATTTGCAGCGAGACAGAAGCCGCTGAAAAATGCTCATTCGATGTCGGTGCTCCATTCTCGCAGAAGATCTTGATCTCCTTTTTCTTCTTGAAGGTATTTGATCTTGATCGCCCTTGATCCGAATGGAAGCGGCGATGTAGTTACTCAAGTTTCTAGGCAATTTTCACTTTCAAGGGGGGGGGAACCTTGGGCTTCCACGTCTCCAGTTTCATCTGTTTCCTTTGTGGCTCGGAACACATGACCTGAAGGATGAAGGTTAGAGTCAGTTATGGTGAAATGGCTCGCTCAACAGTGAAGCCAGTCCTCCAACGGTGAAGTCAATCGCCCGATGAATTCTGATCTTCCTCATCGAAGAATACTTTACCTCCTACCGATCCCTAGAGGACTGCACCAGGTGGTCCGATATCTGTTCCGGTCACGGATCTCTCGGAGGGGACTTGATGTGATTTCTTTCAATCCTAGGAAAGCGGGCTGCTTCCCTTCCCTCCCCCCTCTCATGGATCGATTTCTTGGAAATCCTCATCTTCTGCTCGTTTGTGACGCACTTTCAGCGAAGGACCGAAAGATGCGAGAGATACCCTTGGTCCTCCTCGGATGTCCTCCCTTCTCCTTACGAAATGCCTTTAGCGCTCTCACGAGGAACTAAACCGGTCCCCGAACGCTCGCTACTCCTTGAAGGTGCCACAAATGATCGGTCTATTGCGATCAAGTGAACCAGGACGGCAGTCTCTACTGTTCTAGTTCCTGATGGTACACGCTATCGAAAATTGCTTTGCTACCATCACGAACTGATTCTTACTCCCGCTTCTTCTCCCGTTTCCTCTCAGAGTTATATAAAATATTATGCCTAGTCCTGTTCTTACCATCCATTTTAAAACTAAGATCCGTACAGCGGCATAGCGTGTGTGTGTGTGCGTGTGGGGGGGGGGGGGACATATGCCCCCCAATTTTCGATAAAATAAAAAAAAGAAGTAAAAGACTCATGAAATGCATGATAACAGTGTTCCAGAGTTCCCGTGCCCCCCTCCCCTTTCTCCTCCCCCTTTGCACTTAGTCCTCTGCCCCCCAACTTTTTCCATCCACACTACGCTTATGGATCCGTAGACGAGGACGTGTACGAAAGAAAGCATACACAAATGCGCATTGGCATCCATTGTATTCTTATGGATTTGGATGATTGGTGTCTTTACAAGCTCCCTTCGAATATTTTAATAACTTTTTTTCACAATCCACTGGGGCAGCGGATTATAATCTCACCTGACATTTGTAGGTGCCGTTGTCAGCCAGAGAGACGAATCTGATCTGAAGGGCCCAGTCCTCCGATCGGCCTTGTCGGAGCACCGAGAACCGCTCGTCGTTCGTGTACACATATTTCCCCGTCGCTATTATGTGGTAGTCTCGCGTTCGAACCCACGACAGCTGCAAACACCAAACAAATGAAAAGATCAAGTTTCTTCAGTGATCTGAGACATTAGTAAACGAATGTAACTAGTGTGGCTGTAGATGGACGTAATTAACCGCTTACCGGGATATTACGGATTTATCCATCGTAGAATTTTTTTTCCCACGGAAGGGTGTTACGGATATTTATTTCCCTCACAAGAATTCTCCCGCGTACATTACTGGGTATGATTAATGAGCTCAATGAATGCTAATTGAAATATTGTTCAATATACAAAATCAGTCTTCTTTACTGGGAAAAAAACTCCCCATCAGTGGTAAACCCTTGGATTGGAAGTTCCCGCTCAAGAGGGAAAGAGCTTAGTGCAGACGGAGTGCATTGATGCAGAGTGCAATATGAAATTGAGCTAGTGCTGATATCTTTGATAAGAAATAAATAATTCAAGGATTAGCGGTGCTTCGTGACACAGAGGTCAGAATGGGAAAAGTACCACTCTACATCAAAGGTGAGAAATCGTGTTTGGTGGGAAATGAATTCTCACTTGACATTGGGTGAAGAGAACTTTCATTTCTTGACTTGACCTAGCAAAAGGGCATTTTCTCCTTGTTAGCGTAAGCTCTAGGCCTCCAGATTCTGCAAATGGGTATGATAAGTACGATGATAGAATAGATTACTGTAGTCTAAAACAGTTTGGCTCGAGGGCAGGTAAACTCTCACTAATGAGAGATTTTAATGAACCTAAGATTAACTGGAATCTCGCAATTGTTGACGAATTTCGAGATTCTGAGTTTCTTTGTGCAGTTTGAGATGCTTTTGCGCGCAACAGATTGTGAATTTTCAAGCGGAGAAAAGTAATTAAACCAAGTTCAAATTCATTTCTAGACGAAGGCGTCGCACTCGGCGAAGAAAGATCCTTCCTTTGAAACTTCGGAGAGTCCCGGATATGGTGTCCTTTCTATGAAGTTCTGGCGAAAGAATTGAAGAACTGGGAGTGAATTCAATTGGGACCCTGTTCCACGATGGAAGCCATACATCGCTATTCCTATTTTTCATTGCCCAAGTCAAAGAAGGAGAAGGTCAGGTCCTGAATAAAAGGTATCAAGAGGAAGAACAGAGAAGAAAGTTCAATGCTGGAAGACGAAAAAGAGACAAAACTATATTATCCGAGTTATTATGTCCTCCAAGCTAAATATTGAGCGAAGGCCGTTGGATGGAGTGCCTCCCCATCCATCTTTCTCCAATATTTACACTTTCAGCCCTATCCCCGTCGTATGACGTCCTACGGCCAGAGCGCACTCAAATCGCCAGGACCGAAAGCGTTAATCACTTTGAAGGACAATGCAGGCGTTGGGGAGAGGTTTCGAAATGAAATAAAATCAAGAAGATAATATCAGGGGTAAGAAGGCCAGAGAAAAATATTTATCGATATTGCTATTGCAAATATTTATCGAATGTTCAAATGGTCAGCAGATGTATTAAGTATTATAATTATTTAAGTGTCCTTGGAAAAAAAGATAAATCTAATTATCAGCTTCTCTGTTGAAGGAAGGGAGGTAGAGGGACTTGGCCGTAATTGCATGTTGATGGACGGTCAAAAACTTATGAGAGAGAGATACTAGGACTGCCGATTACCGCGATAGTGTGATAATAATCGATATCGTTATTATCGATGACATGTCTACCCATCACGATACGGTTTTCCAGCTTTATACTTTTCCTTTCTGTTTACTCCGGCAGGCACACAAGGTTAACTAGAGTAAGAAAAGCCGCATGATTGACGTAGGAAAGTTGCAGATGAAAGCTTTCGTCACCACATGCCGCTGCCCTAAATTACAAGGTCTATATATAGAGGCTCGACGGAAGAAACCCTAAAAGGGAAAGGTTTCGTTGCAGTGTGTCATATCAGAGCCATTAGGCCGATGGAGGGAAGGAAGATGGCAGACATCTCCCTGTGACACCCCCCTCAGCTGCTAATGTCAGGCTTGTGTAACATACGTGTAAATGAGAGAAATGGGGCAAGTGTGAACAAGCCTTGACGGCACCACTCTCTCGTTTCCTCTAGGAGGCAGGGTGTCCCGGTCCCTTTTCCTTCAAAATTAATAGTCAACCATTCATTTTAGAATATAGCTACTAAATACCCAGCACAAGGTGGATATCATTTCACTGGAACCCATTCTTCCTTACCTCGCGACTAACTTTTCCAGAAGGTCGAGTCGTTAAAGATTTTTTAATTCCCCATAGCTCATATAACCCCATATGTGTTTCCTTAGACTTATTGTAAAATGGTTCAAGTGTTGCTTCGCATTCAATAAATTGGCTTTTAATACTTTCAAGATAGTTCAGAAGTGTAAAATATCCGAAAATGACACCAGTTCGAGCGAAAAAAAATGTCGGAGCCACTTACCCAAAACTAAAAACTGAAGCGCGCGGTGCCATGTTGCCTCATCTTCTCGGATCCGTACTGTAAGTATTAAATTTATATTTTTCGATAGACTATAGACTATGTAAACCCTTTTAGACCTGAATTTAAACCACGATCGAAAAAAATTTTCCTATCGTGAATAATTCAACTGGCAGCCAAGAGAGGGCTTCCCACGGAGTTCAGCCGTGAAGAATAGAGTTCATTGTAATGAACTACGGAGTACAACGTCACAAGAATCACGAAAAGCTCGATAAACATAGGAAATGTGGTGCCTACTGGAGTGTACGCAGCTGAAAGAATTAAGCGGAAAAAACTATTGCTCCATGAATACTGTAGGCCATTGCCGCCTCGTTTGTCACGAGACCCGCCGATCTCACATATAAGCATTAACTGCCTGCATCGTAGGCTGAACATAGGGTAAAGCGGCAAATCCCGAATGCCTTCATCAGGGTGAGGGTCGATTCGAACGCACGGAAAAATGATCGGGATTTCATCTTTCTACGCACCCTGTGCGGTACATCTCATGCTCTTTATTTTTCCTCTATGTAAGGTTCTGGGCAACCATGCAATTCCGTGACTGAGACAATGAAGATCATTCCAGTGTCGAAAATCGTGTACCTTGTAACTAAGTTCAGTTTATGGAGTAGATCCCTTGACTTTATCTTTTCCTCGTGGTGTACATCACGCATGTTGCCCAATAGCCTTCTCTAGCAATTATAATGGCTGTAGATATATTTTATAGAATTCGGAGTCGAATTCCTTCCGAGGTGCGAAACTTCGCGACCGTTCGACTCTAACCGCACCTAAGTTCGTGTTGCTACGATGTTCGAACGTTGGTGGTCGAGTTATTCTTCATAGACTAGAGCAGTGATGAGCAACCCGCGGCCCGCGGGGCTTTGCCAACTGAATTTTTTTCCCCTCTCATCTGCCACCCGGAGTAGAGCGCACGTGCGCTCAAGGAATCCGTTGCCCACTGCAGGAGATATGGAAACAATAAATATAACATAAATGCTATAATTCCGCTGCAAATATCCCCTCGCTCACTTCTTGGTCAGTGTATCACTGCTCTCGGAGCAAGAGGCTTGCTTGGTATTTTGCACAGTAAAATGATGAGAAAATTTTCAAAATTAGTTCTTTGCGTATCATTAGCATCTACTATTTTACAAAGTCAGGCTTAGGACTTAGGATTATTAGGACTGGGCTTAGGATTATTTTGGTACTCAGCAGCCATACAGCCTGTAATTCAGTATTTAAAAAATACATGCGGCCCGCTGGGAACCTAAAAGGTTCACTTGCGGCCCGCAGTCAAAAAAGGTTGCTCATCACTGGACTAGAGGATGCCTACTAAAATCGATCGTCAAACGCTTTCATCCTTTGCATGGTAGCGAGAAAGTGTTTCTATGAAACTCTGTGAATCAGTAATAATGTGTTGCCTTCAAGAATATTAATCTTTTAATTAGTGATGCTTAAGGCTCGTCCAAACCAGGGAAGTTTTCTAGCATAGATAATGAAAGAACATTGCAAAGGAAAACTTTGAAAGAAAACTTTCAGAGATAGTCCGCACCAGAAACTTTTCTATGCAATTTTTATTTGCAAGTCGACTTGCAAAAAAAAAACTTTCATGGTGTGGACGTCTTTGAAAGTTCTTTCTGCAAAGATTTTTCTTCGTCAGAGCGTTCTCCATACAAATGTTTATGAAAGTGAAGTATTCGAGATGGCTCCCATCACAAGGAAATCAACGTGGCAGCGGAAGTCGTCACGATTCTTCTTTTTTAAAAAGAAAAAACGGAAGCACGCCGCTCGATTTGGGCTGCGGCGACATGAAAATGGTGCTTATTCGTCTCATGAGAGAGCTTCGGATTGAAGGCCTCCTTGGATTCAAGAATTTTTTACGAATGAGTGGGCAGGATTTTGAGGAACTCCGGAGACGAATTGGACCGTTTATTTCGCGAAAGGACACTCCCTATCGTGAGTCCGTTTCGACTGGAGAGAGGCTGTTAATTACTCCGAGATTTTTGCCGAGTGGAGAAGGCTTCACAGACCTTACTGCGTATCTCTATCAGGTGTCAAAGCAATCCATATCTTCATCTCAGAAGTTTGTGATGATTTGTACAGGGTGTTCATTTTATCAGTTAACCCAAAGAAATGCATATCCAAAAAGGAATAATAACTCAGAGATACAGTACATGAAACTTGGTGATATGAGAACCAGGACGTTGAAAAGTGCAAAATGACAATCGCAGTCACAACACGTCACAACATATGTTGGAAGTGGCCACTGCCGTGATCAATACACAAGCGTGCATGGCGAAGCATGTTGCCGGACACAGACTAACAACACTGGCTGAATGTTTAATAATGCGAACAATCGCCACACTCTGGAAGAGTTGCAACACGTCATTGCCAGCATTCAGCCGGTGGTATTACAATCTGTCTCCAGCAACATGCTTTGCCATGCACGCTTGTGTATTGAACATGGCGGGCGGTGGCCACATCTAAAACATGTTGTTACGTGCTGCGACTGTGATTGTCATTTTGCACTTGACAATGTCCTGGTTCTCAGATTACCGAATTGCATGTATTGCATGAGTTTTTCTTCTCTGAAACTGGCATTGTTCCTGGCAGTGGGCTTTGCAATGAACTGAGAATTGTACAAAATGCTTAGTTACGAGGATTGAAGTAATTTTTCCACTTGACATTCACTTGTAGGATTCAATGAACGTAGTACACACAGGTATATTTACGAGTTTGCATACATTATGGATATTAAAAAGAGGATGAAGACCGATGCGGGAATCACGCTAAAGAACATTCGGCAACACGTATTCTATATTATATGATACAATTAAGAGGAAATGGAGTTACTACAGCCATGACATTTACACCCGAGAGAGTAAAAAGAGCTGCAGGCAGTTGCTTTGCCCAGAGGGACTCGAAAGCTGGAATCATTTATGATACGATAAATCAGGCTTTTGCTCCGTGAGATCCCCAGGCACCAGCAGGGAATGAGCTAAAAAGGCTCTTGAATTTTTGATTGGGTTGACGTGGGCATCTCTCTCTGATTGGCGATGCCTTACCAGGTCGATAACCTTGAGTAAGTCTCGTGCCCCCTCTTTCGCATCGTTCTTCGAGGAGAATTTCTTGCTGGCGGTGAAACTCGTTTCTATTTCACGACATTCGTGCAATAGTCGTTGCCAGATGTCGGTGAATGTGATGTGGCATCACGCCTTCATACGGATCCGGTACTGGATTTTCATCAGCTTCCACTTTCTTTTCTACTTCTAGTGGAGTTTTTCGTCGTTCACATGTCATACGTTATACCGTGATCGATAACATGGGCCATCCCTTTATGTTTCTTATATTCATAGATCGGAAGCGAGAAGCTCAGGCGTGCTCCTAAATATTTTTTCAGGACTTAGATAGATGGAAAATCTTTTTAATTCTTTTTCTTCAATGTGAGAATCCAGAAAGGCCAGATTTTCATTTGCAGCTTTCACTTTTTCGCTGACTCAATCGATAAAACTTGGGAAATGCCATAGGGGTTCTGTAAATAGGTATAAGATTTTCGGATGCGTCCATGGCTTTAAGAAAAAGACAGGTGTGAAGGCCATTCTTCGAGTCTCTGCTCGGTTCGATAGCTCAGCTACGCTTATCGCTTCCAACTCATTTCCTGGTCGGGTAGGATTTCCTGTCGAGATGGAGATCGGGTCATGTGGAAGTGTCTCAACCTGATACCCTTTATTACCTCTCCTGCCCGGTCGAGATTGTCCTATCGCATCTCTCAGATAGAAGCATGCCCTTGCTCGTAGGAAAGATCCTATCCACAAGCCTCCGAGGTTCCTTTCCGTGATGAACCTTTCGCTCTTCCCTTCTCTCGGGCGTTTTACGACCTCTAGCTTCCCGGGGAATTTCGCATCGAGACGATACGAGGCATCTGCCGGAGCCCTGATATGGCGGTGCTTCATCGGGAGAACGAGAATCGAGAATGCGTCTGATGCATTAGAATGCATCTGAGAGAATGGAATCGAGAAGAAAGGGAAAATTTCCCGGGGACTTGCGTGTGCGTGCGCAAGGGGAGGACGATGCCCGTGCCGGAAAAGATAGGTTCGAAACGGGCCATTAAGCCAAGCTCGGATTTTTTCTTCCTTCCTGTCCGAGGCTTCTCCGTTCGCGATTCCTTTCTCCTCTTTCTCGGTTTCGTATAATTATAGGGCATTCTCCCGCCTGAAGGAGTTCTCGTCGTTGGAACCCCTCCTGGAGACAGATATTCACAGATATAGTGGAGGATTGGGGGAAGATGTGGAAGAGCAGACAAAAAGGGCCTTGAGAAAGGAACACGCTTCGTGGGCAGGCTTGGCCTTACCGGCAAGCCCGTATGGGTTAACGTAGTGGGCTGATTGCTCATCGAGCAAGTCTCCCTCGCCAGCGCATTTCTTCTTCGAACGAGCCGAGAGATTCCATGCTTTGTTAAAAGGTAGGAAATCAAACCGTTCCACTGAGTCTGTCGTCCTTCCGTCTACAGTATTTATGTTTGCGCATCTGATATAGGGAAAGATGAAAGAGAAACATTCTACATCGATTTTTCGCAGAAAGAGGCCTATAAGGCTCTTTCGTTTGCTTCACGCAACGCCACTAGGAAACGGGCAGGGAAGGAAAAGAAAAGGAAAAACATGAATCTCAACTCAAAACTATTTTTTCAACTACCTCGCAAAAAAAGAAAAAGGAGTGCTGAAGCGCAAAAAAAATTAATTATTTTTTTTTTAAAGCCTACATGATGTAAGCCACACATTCGTCTGTATCAGAGATGACTATTTGTAAGAACATATTGAAAGAGGGCGGGCTAAAAGTACTCCAGTATGTGCATATCCTCGTTTGTGTTTCTTTCATCCACAAAGAAACGAAGTTTTACGAATGGAAGCATGAGAATGCTCTACTTTTGGCTCATCGTGAAGGGATTTATCGGTAAACTTTTTAAATATTGGATCCTAAAACTGCTACATGCATGTATGTAATGCACGTTTCCGAAACTTAAAGCGTCCTGAGGCCTCCTCCTCGAGAACCTCGACGTGCAGTTTTTGAGAAACGATCCACGGAAACGTTCGCACCGAACTTTAATTAAAAATCCGTGCATCGCGATGGCATCTCGCCGGGAGCGAAGACCAAAGAACGAGGGCCAGCGAGAAATGAGTCTCGGATCGGTTGCGAGCCGGATTCCGGCATTCGTCGTGGAAGGGGAGGCAGCGGCAGCGATGACCGCTCCTTCGACTGGAACTCCAAGCGATGCGTCGCGCATCTGCTTCTACTTTCGACCGAGTCTCTTTTCTCTTTGTTTACGAATCCCGGTGGGGCCGTTCCTCACCCCATTTCCGGGCAGATAATTCGCTGCGCCGACGAGTCTCTCTCATTAGGCACCGAGGAGACAGCCCTTTGCAGTTACGAGTGACTAACAAGCTCAATTAGGTGCTACCGATTTTCTCCCCCCGTTTGGAACGTTTCCGAGATCGTACGTACGTTACGTGGCGTTCGAAGGACTTCGGTCTTCGTTTTTCTCTTATTTTTCCTCGTACTGCTCCTTCGGGAAGCACCCGTATCGCTCGTCTTCGAAAACTCGCGAGCCGTCGAGAGTTCCCACTCGAAGATCGTAAATCCTCGGAAGCTCGGAGGAGAAAAAGAGCGGAAACTCACGTGCTGCTGTTGCCCGACGTTCTTGACTTTGCAGTGGAGAGTAGCAGTAGATCCGACCGGTGCGATGACCACGTCGGCGGTGGAGTTGTCAAAATGAGGCGCAGTGTTACCGCTGTGCCGCTGTCGCCTCGAGGTCGTCGGCGACGTCGTCGCACCTGTGCATCGGGAGGGGTCATGGGTCATGAGTCATCTCGTTCCATTTTTAATGCACGACGAGACGTACACGATGTGGGCACAACGAGAACGAAGCTATTTGTATGCACTCGGCCCACCTTCACGACCATTACTCGTCGATGCAAAACAGAAATTAAAGACGAATAAAAGAATGGTGAAACGGAATTCAACGAGGCCGAGAGAGAGTTATTCGGTGAGAAAACTGAAAACTAAGTAAATCTAGGATACTCTTTGAAGGCTCTGTGCATAGTGAAAGTCGAGTCGAGGAATCCATACCGTATGTTTCCTGAGTTCAAGAAGCAGTGGCGTATTTTATGGTGGGACAGCCCCCTCCCCCCCCTCTGGCGCCCCTGGGACAGAGCCTGGCGCTCCCTTGGAGGTATTCATTGTATCCCCTGATATCGCTCGAGTGGGGTTTGGCGCACCCGCTCCGTAGCCCTGCCCCCCTCTGACCCTTCAGCCAGAATACGCCACTGTCAAGAATGTTTCACTCCTTACACTTCGATCTATGGATTAGACGGAAATTTGTGGAGAGCCTCACGGATTCCCGGATCGAAAAACCCCCGATGGAATCCTTCACGAAAGAAAACGATGCCATCGCATGCGATGGGATCGTGCTTCGTGTGAGGTGTGGGCGCAAGGACGAGCCGAACGCTAAGTATCGCATGCGTAGGTTCCATAAAAGGGACGTATGACACCGGAGTGTTGCGTTCAACAACTGCAATAAAAGACGTCCTTCTCGAGATGACGAAGTCGAGCCATCGCACGGTTAAGACCAGGTTAGAACCCGAACCGACGGGTTCGACTAGTGACTCTGGGCTCGAGATGCGTTCGGTTCGTTCCGAGAAACGATAGGAAGCTTCCAAGATGGCTCCCGTATCGCGCTTCGAGAAGCTACTGGGATCCTTCCTCTTCGGACCGTTACGACTTCGGAAAGCGACCTGCTCCGATGGGAGTGCGCCTCGTCTTCGGAAGCAGAGGTATGGGAAACGCAGAAATAAACGAATTCGCGACAAAAACCCTTCTGGCATCGGTCGAAAGCATATAGAGTGTATAATGGAGGGGCCTCACCTATGGCGGGAGGCGCTGCACCCTTCCAGGCGCGGCTGCCATCTTACTGAAGTCGCACGAGCAAGGTTTTTCATTTCACATATGGAGAGGGGGAGGGCAAAAGAGGCAACTTGCCCCAGGCTATATGTGGACATCCACGCCGGGGCCCCAACCAATCACGCTGTTCATTCCCACGTGCGAGACTTCACCAAGATGGTGGAAGCACTTGTAAGTCTCGAGGCAGCGAAGGCCTCTCCAGAGATATATACTAGTATATACACTCTATGGTCGAAAGCGATATACACTAGAAGGCTACTCGCGAATTTCTATGGGTCGATGAGGGCAACATAAGAGGCGTACGTCGACGGTGTCGGTCGATCGGCATCACGGTTCCGGGTTCGGCACGAACAAGACCACCAGACCACCGGCATCCTCTTTTCCTTCGGGGAAATCTTCACCCGCTTTCGAATTCTTCCTCGGTCTACGCGAACGCACCGCTCCGGTTTCTCCACGAAAGATCAGTCTTCTTCATCGGTACACGGCGCTTCCGGTGGCTCACGCGATGCTGGAGAGGCCCCGGACGCACGTGAGGGACCCCGGACTCGCTGGAGGAGCCTCGGACTCACTTCCCTCGTGCCGTCCAATACCCACGAAGTGCAAAAGCGGCGATGCCGTATCTCACGTTGTAGTGTAACGTACCGGTGTAAGTTGCGAAAAAAAAGACGAAACGTATCGGCTCCACTTGCTTTTGGCGTTTTTTTTTTTCCAGAGCTCTTTTTCCGGAACTTTTTTCCAGAACGAATCCCTTTAATCGAGGGAGATCTTCGAAGACACGAGATACATTCGGCACGTCGTGAGGGTGTTGTGACGCGAAGAAGAACCGGGGAGGGAAAGAGAGCCTTCAGCCGGAAGATAGGACCTCGCACTGCTCTCGCAACGCGTCTCAAATTTCACCTGAGCTTCCTCCGAGTCATCCTTTCTCGAAGAGATGTTCATCCTCTCTCTTGAGAGCCGAACGACGCGATTCATCATCCTCGTATCGACAGGGACCTGTTTCATGGAATTTACAAGTTCTACAAGTGACAATTTACTCGTAGTCGTGCCGTAGTCGAGCGAAGGGCCAGCAGTATCAGCTGGAAGAGTTGAACAAAAGGACACGACCCTTGCAAGTACTCGTAACTTCTAACTTGTAAAACTTGTAAATTCGATGAGACGAGCCCCAGAACGCATCCGTTGACGTAGTGCGGCGCCGTCTCGGAGACCGGATGGCGTTCGGGATGACGGCGCAAGTCATTTTACCGCGAGTCCTGCAAAACGCGAATCTCTCTGCGAGCGGTCGAAGGGTGCTTCGACTTCGAGAAATCATTTCGAGGAATCGGAACGAAACGAGTACTGAAAATTCGGTGAAATACCGGTACACGCGCGAAGCTACTCTCTTTGGCGACGCAACGAGAACAGTACGATGAGCACAGGATCTTGAATTTTAACCGATAGCAAATCATTTTCGTTTTTGCGCGAGGAACTTTGAAGGCGAAATTAAAGAGCTTGCATCGTGGACGAGAGCACCATATAAACTCCGCTCGGGTGGATCTCTGTATATGTGGGCATCGAAATTGCATGTCATGGAGTGTTCCTGCCATTTTAACGACAGTTCGGACTAACGACCCTGGAAACAATGTCTCCATAACGATGCCGAACTGAAATTAAGATGATGGGTTGAGAATGTTGACAGAGACACGGCTGGCCTCATCTACGCATAAACTTCACGTATTTCTTTGCACGAGAAAAGATGAGGTTTTGGCATATAAGTAGAAATCATTAATATCGACCAGTAAAAACGACGAGATGAAGAGATTTCGTTTCGCATCGTGCAGAGATTCCGGGGAGCTCCATACGAGTTCGTTTCTTTGGGATTTCCAGTGAAAGAAGGCCGACCCGAAGAAAAAGCGAATTTCTGCTCGATTACGTTCCGTGGCATTCCGCACGTCTTACCTGGAAGGGCGAGCGAAATCGCGATGCAGAGGAGAAAGGAGACGACAGCCGTCATGAGGGAGAACAGCATCATCCGATCCGATTCGAGTCCTCCCTGTCCAGAGAAAAGAGAAGGAAAAAATGCATTTATGAGATGCTTATACGATTTCGATCGGACCGTCGATCGCACGTCCGGCGTTTCCCCCAACACATCGAGACGCAAGCATACGAGACGCGGTGCACCATTCGGTGCGAAAAGGAGTGCAAGGAACGAGAATCGCTTGGGATCACACTCTCTCAAGTGAGGTAAGGACACTCCCGGTGAAGAGTCGCGAGCGAGGACTAAATACATTCCAAAGCTTACTTTCCCCCTAGTTGCGATTCCTACTCGGACTTCATCTTTCTCATACATCGCGGTAACGAAGTGAGACCGGTTTACAGGTGAGGTAAGTTTACGGCGACACCGGGCGTCTTCGGTAGTCTCTCCAGGACGAGTTGTGGATTCCGTCGCCTGGATATCCCCGACGACGTACCGTACTGTCGCATTTCCATCGATACCGGACCGTCGAAGACGAAGCTTCGCGATTCGGATAAAGAAAGCGTGTCGATTTTGGAGCGTCTCGGTGAGAGTGAACTCGAGCCGCGAGGGTGGGATGCGCCCTACGATACCGAGAGCAAAGACGGAGAATTTTTTCATGGGACGTTTGTAAGTGACAGGGAATTTCCGCCTCTCGCGCCATCGAGCACTCGGCACGGCTAGCCTCTTCTCTGATGAAAAAAAAGGGGAGGGTATATTGGAATGACAGAGAAGCCAAGGAAGGAATTTATGTGAAAGTCCTCCTCTCTTTTACGATGTCGTCCGCCGGTTTTTGTTCTCGATTCGCGCGAGAGGCACTTAGGTGCAATGGCCCCCCGTTCCCTCGACTAACGACCGCGATCGGTACCTCGACTCGCCGTGTTTTTCTTTCTTCTCTCTCGGACCGTCAGTCGATCTCGTCTCTCGACCGACATCCACGAGGAGAGCTCGAAAGAGTTTCGAGCTAGGCACGCTTGCGGTCGTACGTGGTTCCCGAATGTCGATTTGCTATCACGTGGGAATGTAGAAAACGTCGCGAACCGAGCCCCTGGCGGTTCGACCCCGAAACGGTAGCAGAGCGAGCTAGCTGTGCTTTGCCGTTGGTATGTCTGCAGTTCCCGTGCCGTGTTTCGGTCGCGTAACTCTTAGAGATACGTAAAAACTATCATCTAAGGACACGAACATTTGAATAGCGGTGGAAACGAACGACCCATCTGAAATGCAGCAACGACGTGTGATCGAATCTTGCGTTCGTCTCGAAAATGATACCACAGAGTCGGCAGATTTCAAGAGGCATGAGGCCTTTCCCGAGAGAAACCAGAGGCAAGTCGGTCGTCGGTATCGGCAATTGAAGAAAAAATAACGACCGCTTGCGAGCGGCTCGAGGAAGTTCGTAAACTATCGCGTGGTTCAGAGATGAATCAACGTTTCAAAATTTCTGTTTCGGCAGTGCACAACCGGTCGAAACGATTGTCGATGATGACAGTTCCCAGAGCTAGGGTCATCGTCGACGAGTCACCTTCCCACCTCGGAAGAGCGCTTACGTTCCTCGAAAACCAGAGAATGTGGTGTTTTTCCTAAGTCTGACACAAACTTAAACCGTGCAAATTCGAATGAAGTACTGGGTGGAGCCGAGGAGAAACTCGTTCTCGAGGTTTGCATGGTCGTCGAGCAACCGGATGGGTCCATCGGTTGAGGACATACTTACCTTCCGCATCGATGGGATCTAATGGAAAAGAGATGGAATCCGCGATATTCGTTCTCACGATGAGTGAGAGCAGACTTCTTCAACGTCGGTGCTCTGGGGTAAATCCGGACAGGCGAAGGGAATCGATTGAAGGGAATCGAACGTTCGGATTCACCCCACATTCTGCTCTATTGCCGTTGTAGAGAATACGAATCACTCGGGTAATATGTATACTGCCCTATCTTGGGTAATTACATAATATAATGCTATTCAGATGCTCGGCAAATACAAAAAAGAATTAAAAAGTCAATCGTAATGGAGATCTTTATTCCTTTACCGGCTGCGTGGGATACATGCGATCATGTATCCAACTCATGCGGGCCCAAATGGACGCGACTAGTTAAGGGTTAACGTTCCTTGCACGCCGGCGAGTCCCGCACGAAGAGAACGTAGAGAAGAAAGAAAAGGAAGAGAATCCTAAAAAAAAAGGCATAAAAAAGCTTGGATGCATCTCCATACACGCGACCTTACCGTGGTGGAGAGTGCAATTCCACTCTAAACGATGGGCCTATTTGCCATATCGTGTGATTTCAGAAGCATTTATTTTACGTCGAATGAATTATAGACTCAAATAGCCCCTGGGTATGCTAACGTTAGACCTGTTCGGCTGCAAGTCGGTCTCGTGCGGTCGGTTAGCCGTCCTCGCGAAAGTCGTCCCACCCACTGTTCGCAAGTCGTCGTTGCGGAGAACGAGCCGACCCCTCGGAGAGCAGTCCGGGAGGCTTAAGCCTCGGTCTGAGCGTAAGATTTAGATTTAGCCCAAGGTTGGGCCGAGCCATTGTTTAAGGAGAAACCCGAGTGGAATCACACACCCTGCACCTCGGCCCGATACGCCCGCCCTGGGTTTGCCCAAGCGTTAAATTACGTGAAGGTGAGGCCTAACGGTAAACAGCAATTACGGAATTCCATCGACTTCTCGTCTACATAAAGAGAGCGATGAAGTTACCGATTAACTCTCCTCGTTCTTTACGTTCGGACGATTGCTCCAAGTACTGAGAGTTGGCCGGGCGACTCTCCGCTCCGGAGACGGTTCATTGTCGGCCCAGACCCGAAGTCAGAAGACTGACTCGAATGAAAATACTGGACGCCTAGCCATAGCCTACGATGGGAATAAAATTAAACGAGAATGCACGTAACAGGTTACGCCTAATAAGAACGGTAAAACACGACACTCCGGCTGAACTCGCCAGGTCCAAACCTCGCGTGATTTCCACATGCGCACACGACGCTCGAGGACACCAAGGCGCCATACTGTCGCGATCATGTAACGCGATCTCTTCGCGTGGTAAACAAACCATATTTCCTCCTCGCAACGGACGAGTCTCACGTGGTATCTTTACCGAGGAGTCAGTCATTTTATCACGTTAGCAATCCATTTCGTGAATCTCAGGAATTTGAGCATCACAAACGTGATTTTCTTCCCGTGGCAATGGTGACATGACCATCTTCACATGGCAATTCTAACATTGAACCCCTCTGGAGGCGATAAAGATCTCATCCCCCTGGTTCTTTTACGTCGATCACATGGTTACCAAACTGACTTGTGCAGCCAGTCCATCATTAAAAAAATATATCTATATATATATACAGGGTGAGTCAAAAGTCACTGAACGACTGAAGTTATAACTCCGCAAGGAAGGCATTAATTTGTGAACGGTTTTTTGCATAGGAAAGAGTGTGCACAAATATGCAACTTTGAAAAAAAAATTTCATGTATTTATTTGGTGCAAAAATGACTCTTACTGGCCATGATGTTGAGCACCCACCATCAAACTCGATAACACGAGTCATCACCAAAGGGCAACTTCAGCAATCCTCTCAGTGATGCTTTGCCTCAGTTCATCGATCACGTGCGAATTTTCAGCATATACCTGGTCTTTAAATGAGACACCGCAGCCAGAAGACGAGTGGAGGCAGGTCCGGCGACCTGGGAGGCCCGACCTGGCCTCTTTACCTCTTTCCAAAGCAAAACGACTCTTCCATCTTCTTCGGAAAGATTTCCTTCACAGATAGAGGAGAAATTAAGGATGGAGACACATTCCTCCAAAGAAAGTTCATCGGCCTCATCAGAAAACCATTTGGAGCAGCAAAAATAAACATAACATAATCACGAATGGGGCATCCATTGCATCCTAAATCGAACTTTTTTATACTGAAAAATGTTGCTTTTCGTTTTGTGCAGGCTCATCCCATTTCTTATTAGTATATCATGCAAATTTCAATGTTGTTTCGTCAATTAACGCACCCTCTTTCGTATGCAAAAATCCATTTGCAAAGTAATGCCTTTCTAGCTGAGTTATAGCTTTTCAAGGTCGTCCAAAGACTTTTGACTCACCCTGTATATATGGGTTTTGTTAGAAACGTTTGTTAGTAGCCAACGAGTTTGTCTTGGATTTAAATACTACAACTCTTTAACTAAGAATAACTGATTTAAGGTACGGCTCAAATCACTATTCCTGGTCTACAAAGCATATTTTCCTTAGGTGTTCGGTATTACCCCACTTTCCCCTACTACGTAGGGGAAGGATTTTTCTCCATCGTGGTGAATAATGTACGATGCACGAATGAGGCAAGGAAGGTCACACGATTATCGAACGCCACGACCATTATCAGAGTCGAGAATATATATATATATATTCCCATCAAACGAAGCTCATCAATAATTGAGAGGGAATAATTAGGCTACCACCATCTCTCTTTTACCACACGTATAGAGTCGTTAGTGGGTCCCCCCGCCACACTGAATCGGTGAATGACCGTCTTTTGTGCGAGAAGGTCCGTTCGTGCTGGGCTGATTGCTCACCGGCCTCACGCCGGCCTACTTCCTTCCTTCCTCACCTCACGCCATCGAATAAATCTCAGGTGGCAGCTCGAATTACGAGTCGAGGACAGGATTACGGCCCGGGACCGGGTCTTTCTCGTTCGAGGGGTCACGATAACCGCGAAGCCATGGAACCCGAAACGATCCCTACGGAGTCGGCGGGTCGCATACTCCGCGCCCGACCGACGAAATATACCTTCTCTCTCCGTTTGCCACTTTTCGTAGACCCTAGAAAAAGTATTCGCTTGACGGATGGCCGACGGCCTGAAAAATTATTTTCCGGAGAAAATATCAGCCCTGGTGCGGCGTCTTCGCAGACTTCACACAGACGGGGGAATCCGTGCATGCATGACTGTCGTCCCAGCAGGTGGGGACGAGATGGGTCATCCATCAAGCCCACGTATTCATGGATTCATATATTCATTCATGCCTTCGTTCATCCAGTCCAACGTGATTGATGATGACCGAATGATATCTCCCAGAATCGCCATCGAAGAAG